GCATGGTCTGAAATTCACTCTCTTCCCCACTGCCCGTTTCTACAGAGGCCATGGTCACCCCAACACAGGCTGCCTCTCAGGTCCCAGAGGGGGGCCCTCAGACCCCTGGACCTTGTGGCCCCACTCCGAGTTGCCAGCCTAGGATCTGGGATCCCCGCAGTGTTGGCTCCTCCCCCTCCAGCCTCCCCACTGCTCTGCCTCAGACCCTGCACCCCGGGGACTCCCTGCTTCACAGGCCCCTCAACCCCACGGGGGCCGTGAGAGGGGACAGTGAGCGACCTCTTGCAGACGCCCCCTCCCACCCCTCCCGGCCCCAGCCCGGCCTCTTCCCTTGGCCGAGTGGCCCTGGCACACAAGGGCTGGGCAGAGCCAAGGGGGCCTCTGCCTGCCAGGGGGGCAGAGGGTGTCAGGATGGGGAGATGCGCCTTTCAGAGCTGCTTGGAGGAGGGGTCAGCGGCTAAGAGGCTCCCAAGGGGCCACGGCTAAGGAAAAACAATCCACGAGGGCCTAAAATAGAATTTGGCTTTGCACTCTTTTTGCTGGGGTGGGGACAGCTGTGGGCCGCAGGGCCACACGGAGGTACTGGGACAGCCCTGAGTGGGCACGGGAACCCTGGGGGAGAGACGCGCTGGCTCTGGAGAGGCTGTGCCTCTGAAGGCCTCTGCCCCGCAAAGCCCAGGCCGCCAGCCGGCCGTGCTCTTCCCCATGCAGACCAGAGCTGTGCTGGAGCCAGGTGCTCCGGGCAGACCCTGGGGTCAGCGCGCTGCCGTTCCACAGGCACCAGCAAGGCAGACTGGTCTGGGCTGAGCATATGCCTACGTCTCCATCTTGGTGGACGGCTGGTTGTGTCTGCTATCCATCACCCTGCTATCCATCACCCTGCTGTCCACCTGGGGACTCTGGGCCCTGACTCTCTGACTAGTCACTGCCTCCAACCAGTCATGTGACTCCAAGGGGGTCTCCCTGCTCCACAAATGGCTCCTGCCAGGTGCCCTTAACCCTTAGCCCAGTCCCTTCGGCTGCTGGGCACCACCCCAGAGGCCTCCTCCTCCCTCCAAGAAGCCAGAGCTGCCCTGGGGATGAGCCGGCTGCTCCCTTGAGCAGATCACACCTCCCACTGGACTTCTCAGCCTCCTCAGAGACCAGGCTCAGCCCTGCGCACAGGACAGCATGCCAGCAGGTGCCGGGGTGAGCTTCAGCAAACGTGGGCTGTGGGCTCCGAAGGAGGGTCCCGCCGGGCAGCCCTGCTTCCTCACATCCAGTGTGGTCTGAGCGACAAAGGAGGGCATCCCTCAGGGCTCCCTGTGCCCCGTGGCTATCTGTGTGCGTCAGGCCTGGACCCCTTCAGCTGCTGGACAGATCCAGCCGCGCCTGAGCCAGCCAACAGAGCCCCTGGGGTAGGCTTCAGGGATGAGAAACCCCTCAGAGACGCAGGCCATGGAGAGAGGCACCGGGAGCAGCCCCACCCGCACCTCCACCTCCGTCCCTCGCCCTGGCTGCTGTTTGGACCTGTTGTCTGCTCACTTGGGGAAGAAGGGAGGCTCGGCTGGGCTGGACCTTCTTTGTCCTGGGAGGGAGGGCCAGGTGGCAGAACTCAGAGCCTGGGGGTGGGGGTGCAGGGGCAGGCTCCTCCTCCACAGGAGTCCAGGCTTACCCCAGGGGACGCAGAGGTCACCACAGTCAGGCCTGTGCAGCCAAGGGCCCACCTACCTGAAGAGAGGTGTCTGGACTTCAGCGACTTCGGTGGGGGCAGCTGGGAATGGGTTGCATGTATGCGCAGAAATCAGCCACATAATCAGGCCCCCCTTGTTCTCCCAGAACCAGTTAGACTTATCAGCCCACCAGAGCTCCTCCTAGGCATGGGGACAGACCAGAGTCTCTAGGAGTGGACAGCCCGGCCCCTGCTCCGCCGAGAGGTGGGTAGAGCCCTGGGCAGCTGGGCCAGGCGCAGTGGAGCCCTGTCTGGCTCACATCCACCTGCTTGCAGGAACCTTGGAGGCACCTATGGGGTGACAAAGGCCAAGGGCCACTCATCCCCAGCGGAATCCAAGTCATGCCACTGTCTCTCCACCCAGGTATGTGTCCACCCAGTGGGGGAAGCGGCCCAGCCCTGTCCTAGGAGACAGTGGACAAGGAAAGAGCAGATGCGGAAGGACGGCGCAGAGACTCAGAGCAGGACAGACCTGAAGGCCTTGTTAGCAGGTGGCCAGGCCAGGCCTCAGGGGACATTTGGGCTCAAGCTGAGTGACTCAACACCATCCTGGCATGTCCTTGGAAACCTGGAGGAACGGCATTCCAAGCAGGACAGAACGGAGCCCTGAGCCCAGCATAGGGGAGGGTTTCCATCACGCCTCCCATGGTCCAGGTGTGTCCAACTCCAGGCCGGGCGCACAGGGAGAGAGAAGTACATTCACCCTGCCTGGAACTTCAGACACCTGGAAGGTGTCTGCGGGTGAGGGTGGCCCAGAGAGGGAGACCCCACTCAACCCCACACACTGACCCTAAGCGAGGACGTCTGCATAGATGGGCCAGGCACCCTGTCTTGGATAGTTCGGGGTGGGCTGTGCAGTCAGGGGCAATCACACCTGGTTCCCAGGTGGGAACCCTGGAGGGCCTGGGGGCATAGCCCTCCCCAGAAGGAAGAGACTGGGTAAAGCATTGCTGCATGAGGAAAATTAAACTGATAATGGGAACGGAGGCATCCTGAACCACAGGAAGCAGGCACCACCCCTAAGCAGTCAAGGGAGGGCCAGTTACTGAATAATAAATAGCCTTGCTGTCCTGAGGGAGGGGTCCCATGCCCCAGGCTGCTGGCGGGGCACCAGGGTGGACCGCATAGCATAGGGGTGACAGTCAGTGCCTTGTTCCTGCAACTGGACAGCCTGGCAGCCAGGTGGCTGGCATCCTCCTGTGCCCCTGTGTCAGGGGTCCAGCCCTACTCTTACCTGCCCCTGGAGGCCTAGTCCGGGAAGATGATCTAACTGGCCCTGCCTAGCCCCAGGTGGGAGTGATGCAATCTCAGGCCTGGGCCTGGGGCAGGGCAGGTACCTTCCAGGACAAACAGGACCCTCCTCAGCAGCCCCTTGGCTGCCCAGGGCACCACCCTATCCAGGTTCTGCCCCCTACCTCCATACCCCCCCCTTGCCAGTCTCCTAGAGAGCCCTGGCTGAGGCGCCACACCTGTCTGGCTCAGTGCACAGGCTGCCTGCACATACCCCCAGCACACTGCCCGGGGGGTCCTTTCTGCCCCCCTCTGCTCCCCAGGTGCCTCAGGGAAAAACACCAGGGGCCTTCCTCAGCCTCTGTGCCCATTCTTGTTGGAGCTGGTCCCTCCAGAGGTGGATAAGTGAGGACAGGGCGGACAGGTGGGGCAGAGGCGGGCAGGTGAGAACTGGGCGGGTAGGTGGAACAGCATGCCGCAGCAGCACACCAGGCAGTTTGGGGCTCACCCTGTGGGCAGCACGATCCCCTGTGGGCCAGTCCTGGAAGGGGTCCACCCAGCAGAAGGTGCAGCACCAGGCTTTCTGCTTCAGGCCAGGGGAACCAGCCGGGTTCGCCTGTGCACCCTCAGCTGCTGCCCATGTGGCTGGGCTGGGGGCTGAGCCAGAACAGGCTCAGTGTAGCTGGCCCTTCTGCCGATGGGCGTCTGGCAGGGCAGATGGCCCCTGGCCAGGAAACACCATGTCCGTCACCTGCGGCTGGTGTCTGGGGCCCAGGGCACCAAGGCTGGGCCACTGCCATGGAATCTGCCTGGCAACGCGGAGGGTCTGGACAGAGCGGGGCTAGTAGAGGGCAAGGGGCAGGTGATGTGGCTGCTTTCGACATGCGGTGCCTGGGGGAGTTTGTGTCCTTAGCCTTGAGGGCTGGTGGGCAGGCAAAGTGGGCTCGGCCCTCACACTCCTGGGGGTGGCCCGGCTGTGGGGCCCCAGATGTCAAAGAGCGGATGAACACGGACTCTGCACGGCAGCTGGGGTTCTCTGCCCAGAGCTGAGGCGGCCGTGCTCCCGCCCAAGTGGGTGCAGGCCTGGGCTGGGGGCCAGGGCACCATGGGCACTCATTTCTGAAGCACCTTCTGGCTGGCAGGCGGGTCTCCTTGAGGCCAGGTGCCCCCTGGTCAGTGCCATGCATGCCCTGTGGCCTTGGCTCTGTGCAGGGGAGCCTGAGATCGGAAGTCAGGCTTCTGGGTTGCTGCGCGAAGAGTGAGGTCTGGAAGTGAGCACTGGCAGGGGTCAGGACAAAGGGACTCGTCCAGGTACCTCAGGAGGGAGGTGCCTGGCAGGGGTGCCGGGGGCGGCCCTGTGGGAGCCAGGCCAACGGGGAGGTGGGCCCACTGGGCCGGGGACGGATGCTGGAGTGGCTGCTGGGGGCTGGGCAGGATGAGGTCAGATGACCTCACCCACCCCTCTCTCCCCACCAGACAGGGGCCCAGGACAGCCCCCAGCCCTAGGAACCCACTGCAGCTCGCCTGAGGGTGGGGGGCACTTCCTGGTGCCTCCTCTCTGAGCACCTGGTGCCAGGCAGCAGCTAGCCTGACAGGTCAGGGGCCCATCTGCACCCCGCTCTCCAGATCAGTGGGGGGCACAGCACTGCAGAAAGGCTGGCAGCTCTCCAGGTGACACAATTCCTAGGGGACCCACAGCCCCCCTCCCAGGGGCACTCCCAAAGCACGGAAACAGATCCTGACATCACGCCCCGTCCACAGAGCACTGTTCACAGCAGCCAGAGCCAACTGCCCCACCGCCTCAACAACGAGCAGATATACCATGTGTTTGTCCAAACTAGGGACACTGTTCAGCCATGAGGAGTCACCCCTGGTCCACTCCCTGGCAAGCCCCTCCAACCCTGTGCAAGCCACACACACACACACACCCTGTCCTGCCCATGGAGTGCTTGTGAACTTGGCAGAAGAGCCCACCGTCTGCCCTGGGGGGAAGCCCTGGCTCCCTGCTACCATCAGTGCAATAAGGGCTGAGATGGAGCCGCTCAGCCATAGTGCTGAGAACCACTTACGCCGACCACACATCAGAGGCTCTCAGATTTGTGCAAAGCTGAGCAGGGGATGGATGGTGCCTCGAGTCACCTCAGGGGTCCTCGCGCCTGACCAAGAAAGGCTGTGGCACGGGTCAGCCCCGGGCACCTGGCCTGGAGAACTGAAGCCCCTCCAGGACTCTGGGGGTCTTCCTCCCTGAGGGGCCCCATTCAGTGTGGGTGGCCAGGGCCAGACAGGGTTTGCTCCAGATGAGAAAGGCTCCATCCAGGGCAAGGGCACGACGCAGGGTCAGCTGCAGGGGTCCCAGAGTGGTGGTCGTGTATGAGCTGTGCCTTCCTGGCAACCAAGGTATCCCCTTTCCTGCCCGGCTGCCCCAAAAGCTGCCATGTGTTGGGGGTGAGGATTTGTCACAGCACCTCAGCCCAGCCAGCTGTCATCACAGAGGTGGGCAGGCCTGGGCTGGGCCACAGGGTGTCGGGCAGGGCCCGGGGCCTCCTCGCAGTGCACAGGGCTGTGGGGCAGGTGCTGCAGAGCACGGCACAGGGCAGAGGTCTGAGCTGGCCTTAATGATGCAGAAGATCCCTCTGGGTCCTGGCAGGACCTGGATGGCATGCATCTCCCAGGATCATCTGCAGACGTGGGAGACAGTTTCAGGCCAGGGCTGCAACCATCACCCCACAGGAGCAGGGACTGGAGGGGGTTCCGGAGGGTCTCTGCAGGGACCCAGAGCCAGCCCAGGCAGTCGAGCCTGGCCCTATAGGGAGAGGGTTTGGTCTGTGTGAATGTGGGGTCCTAGGCCACCTGTCCTGTAAAGGTCTGATCTTCCACAGGCCAGGATGGCAGCTGGCCACAGACCTGCCCAGAGCAAGGGCCCCACACCACTCTAGTGCCCAGCCCGGCCTTGGGGGGCCTGACCCTGGGTTCCCCAAGGCAAAAACTGGACTACAGCCTGGAGCAGCAGTTTCACTGGTCTCTGGACCATAAGGGCAGGGGATGGGGGCACGTGCACTGCCGAGTAGGACCCCCCCCGACTCAGGGCCGTGGGCCACACCATCTCATCCTGGGCCTGCACGGGGCAGAAGCCCAGGAAATGTTCACTGAGCAAACGAATATCTATTTCCCACCAACCGCCATTTGCAGCCATGAGGCAAGGGCAGGATTCAAGGATGTTCTCTGCACAAGAAGGGCTCCTGGGTTCCCCCTGGGCCCCAAGACCACTCTGGCCAAGGGTGCTCCCAGCCTGTGAAGGGGCCCTTACAGCAGGGATACCAGTAAGCTTCTCAGACCCCCTGCATGGTGGGGGACCCAAGAGGCCACCCCCAAGGAGCTGCCAGTGCCACAGAGCAGGCATGGCGGGAAAAGGAAGTACATCAGGACACAGGCCAGGTGAGCAAGAGTTCACTGATTCACCGTTAAGACACAGGATATAACACCCTGGTCAGACCCCAGACATAGAGGCCAGCTGGCTGCTGGGTGAAGGGGAGACGCCTGGGTACATGGGACAGACACCCGCTATGGTTGTGTCCCTCCGTGGCCCAGAAGACACTGGTCACACTGGGGATCCTCTCTGGTCAGAGGCTGACAGTGGGGTCCTAGGGTAACAGGGGCGGCGGCGGGCAGGGAGGTCCTCCACTAGGGCCCCACTGAGCCCATCCCAAGCCCCACAGGGCCTGGCCAGGTGTCCCCCTGGCCCTCTGCAGTCTGCTTCCTGGTTGGGCCATCACTGGCAGCAAGATGGCGAGGCCCAGAGCAGAGGTCTGCAGCTGGTGTGGCTGGGGGAGCAGCCCCCACTGGGTCTGCGGTCTGTAGGCTAATAGTCACCGTGGGCCAGGCCAGCCTGGGGAAGAAACCTCTGGAATGTCCCCCAAGGCAGGCACTCAGAGGGGAGGGGATGGTGGTGGTGAGGAGGGCTGGGCCCCAACCACAGCAGGTGGCCCCCAGTCCCTGCAGTGCCTGCCCTGGGCCCTGAGTGAAGTATCTGCACCTATTTAGGTGGCTCGTTATTTTTTAAAAGAACCGAAAGCTAAAAATAGTGGCGATGCATAACAAATGGGAGCCCTCATTCCCTGAGCACTGCTGGCTGTGGCTTTCAGCACCACCCAGCCGTTTTTAGCGCACCATGGAAGACAGGCTTAGCTCCCTCCCCCCTCTCCCTGCAGGCGGATGGAGGCGAGGGCCCCTCAGCAGAGGACGGTGTGGAATGCCTCTCTCCACACTCCAGTTCAGGCCAGAGCTGCAGGGGCCGAGCCCAAGCGTCAGCGGGCACGGCATGGAGCTGGCATGGAGCTGCTCCTGAAGCAGGTGAGGACAGGACGCCCTGCAGGGTGGTGGGTGGGAGGGCCCACAGGGCCAAAGCAGGGCCTCCTCTTCCTTGGAACGTTCTGGAGCCATACGCAGTGAGCCCACCAGTGCCGGCCAGGCCTGGCCACAGCGCCTGCCCACACAGTCCAGGACCAGTGTGGTTGCCTGCAGAGGGACGGGGTCACAGGTCAGTTTCTCCTAGGCACCGGTCCACTCTTGAGCAAGGATTTTATTTGAGGACGTTCATGCCGAGTCCATGCAGGTGGAGCCTCCCCACAAGGTGCTCACACATACTTCCCTGTTCTTCCACAAACGCAGCATGGGGCAGCTCCCAGTCAGAGGAGAGGGCCAGATGGACACTGTCCACTCCTCCCCAGGGTGTCCTGGCACCTCACTGAGCTCCATTTGGCATCACATTTGACTCATTTTGGGTGGAGAAGACAGAGAGCTTGGTCACACCTCCCCAAAGCCCCTGGTCAAGCTGCATGTCCAGGCTGGGGCCAGTGCAGTGCTGGGTGGCCAGGAGCAGGGTGAGCATCTGGGCCCTGGACGACCCGCAGGGAAGTCACGTCACTTCTGACCTTCTGAGGTCCCACCGCCCTCTCTGCTGATGTACAACACCCCTCAGGCCCGCAGACTATGGTGACCCTCGGCAACCACGCTGGCACCACACGAGACTTAGCAGCCGGCACGTCTCCAACACTCTGACCACAGACATTGTTTGAGTCTCCTGAACAACAGAATCCACAGGCCCCAAGCCCCCCTGCTCTTAGCAGGGCCCCAGCGGGACATGGGGTGGGGAATATCCAGTCCCACATGGGCTGACGTGTGGCTCACAGGGCACACCCAGAGCCCACAGTGAGGGCCGACCCACAGGGAGCTGGTCACGCAGGAGACGAGCATCATCAGAAAATAGTTTAATTATGTACAGACAATCGCCAGGCTGATTACACGTGGGAAGATGAGAATGTCCACCAACAGGACTCAACAAGGACAGCAGAGTGGAGCGATCTGCTTCCCGCAGATGCGCTCTTGAGGTGACGGCTACAAAGTAAATCACAAGCCCTAACAATTGTGGGAGAAGCAGTAATCAGCACTTTTCTGTGGGGCCAGAAAAAGACAGAAATCAGAGGCTTTGCAACACACGCTCTTCTCAAGCCAGGGGACGTGTTTGCTCCAGGTCCAGGATGGCGGGCAGGCTCTCTGCGTGCAGTGTGCCGGCCACGGAGAAGGCCCTCGTGGGGGGGCTCCAGTTGGCCGCCCTGTGCTCAGAAGAGGGGCCTGGAGCCCTGACTCTCAAACTCGGCCCAGGCATCGCTCAGCTCCATGAAGATCATCCTGGCATACTGCTCGTATGGCTGCCCCCTGGCCTATGGACCAGCAGGTGAGGTGGCCTGGGGCCTGCCTCTGGGACCCCCGCCCATACCACACCCCTGCCTGGCACTCACCTTGTCCGGGTGGACCACCAGCACAGCCCGGCGGTACTGCCTCTTCACCTGCCCGGGGGTCACCAAGTCGGCCATGCCCACGGGCGTCCAGCGGCTGCCATCCCACAGAGCAGTGTGCAGCGTGGACAGCAGGGCACGGATGTTCCTCTCCTTGCCATCGGTCCAGTCCAGGAGCTGTGGGTGACACTGGCACTGCAGAGTGGCCCTCCTGGCCCTCGGCCCCTCTGCCAGCCCCCATGTGAACGGCTCCGCATGCCTTCAGGAGGTGAGGCGAAGCTCCAGGCGACGCGTGTGGCCCAGACAGACCCGCCCTCTCACCTGCTGCACTGACCCCACCCAGGCCTTGATGGTGCCGGAGTAAATGTTCAATCACAGGTGGCTTGCCATCCCAGCCTCGCCCTGCCCATTCTGGGGCTCCAGTGCCCAGTGGGGATGAGAGGCTGGGTTCCTGGTGGCCTGTCGGATGACCCCAAAGGCCACGGCCACCTGCTGGGCCCTCGGAACTGCACTGTCAGCCTGTCTAGCAGTGAGGACTGCTGGCCCTGGACAGCAGGTGTCAGAGTGCCCAGGCAGGGCAGAGGTCCCTCGTCACACCCAGTGCCCTGAAGGCACTTCACCCCGAGCAGGGGGATGTCTGGTTAGGTCCTCCAAGAACTGAAGCACTCAATAAAATGAGAATCTAATCTCAGGTCTTCAGCACAACAGCATCAGAACCACTGAGATATGCTCCCACTGGGGTGGCTACGCATTCCACTCCAAAAGGTCAAGGTGGCAAATGTGCCCACATGGAAGTTGCCATCTCTGTGCACACTGCATGAAGGCCCTCTCATGTATGAGGGGTCTGGTGGCTCACTTAGGGCAAAGGCCAAATGTGTCCACGGTATCAGGAGACCCCCTCACCCGCAGAGCCTCACCAGGCCCTACCATGCCCTCAGCCAGATCCTCCTGGGGGCACGCAGACAGCTGAGGCATGGCCCCTGTCCCACTCCACCCTCGCCAGCTCGTGCCACCTCCGCACCTTCAGTTTGAGCGGGTCTGTGTCTCTTGCCTGGTCCTGCCTCCTCATCTCTGCAATGGTCCGCGGCCCCTTCTTGTCTGACTTGGAAGAGAAGCCTTGATTGGACAGCAGGTCCTCAAAATCATTCTCGGACACTCTGGGCTTTTGACCTGGAGAAGAGCAGAGGCTTCGCTGAGACTTGTGGCCCCAGTGCCCACCTCCTGTGCACAATGGTTCCCATGCGCTGGAACCCACCCAAGGTCTTTGTGACCAAAACGTGCGGTCTTTCCAATCTGTGCAGCCCTGATGCCTCTAAAGCAGCCAGAGATGTTTCCGTTTCTCATGCAACCTCTGCTCAGGCAGCAGGGTGGCTGCCCCTGCCCACAAGTGTCCTTCAGAGGCGGCCGAGAGAAGCGCAGGCGCCTGGCAGACCTTGCGGGGTCAGTGTGCCTGAATGCAGGCATGCCATCATCTCCTGGGTTGTGTGTGGGCCTGGCCCTGTCCCTGGCCCCATGCCGGCCTCCCTGGCTCAGGGACAAGAGCCCCCCCACCGGACATGAATCTGAAACTACTTCCTTACATCTAAAAGGGGTTCTTTCCAGGTGGACCCTGACTACCCATCTTCTCCCCCTTTCCCAGGGATATGAAACAATGTCTCCCAGCAGCCACTTCCAGGCAAACTTGAAAAACCACACATGCAGAGGACTTACCGAAGCTGGGGGTGCGGACGCCCCGCTCCTCTCGGCTGCCAATCACACTGAAGTTCGCTGCATAGCTGGGCCTTGGCTGTGCACAGGCTCTGGGGGATAGCTTGGCCTGGGGGGGCCGTGGGGTGCCCTGGACTGGGGGCCGACTGGTTTGCCAGGAGCCACTGCTCTTGGGAGGCGGCGCTGTCTTGGGACCAAAGCCTCCAGGTGTAAGTCCAGCGGGCGAGCCTGGAGAGAATGTTCACGTGAGTGCCACCAAGGGGCAGCTACACCTCCGCTCCTGTCCTTAAAGCCCACACAGGCCAGAAGGCATGCACGCAAAAACTGAGCGCTCAAGGTTGGACACCAGGTGAGCAGCTGACGAGGTTAGGGTGGGGGGCGCTGGGGCGAGCATGGGCCTTCCCTCTCGCCCTTAAAATGCAGGACTGGGTCCTTAACTTTCCGTTTGAAATCGACTGCATAGGGAGCCAAAAACCAGTGCCCAGAGTCCCTTACACCTTCCCGAGACCCCCCATAATCATCATCTGCAGGCTGGTGCCAGCTGGTTTGTGAGCGTGTGAATGTGTGTGGGGCCATGTGTATGCACGCACGTCCTTGTAGTGTGTCTATTTCTGTGCTGCTCCACCACACGTGCAGATTCACGTAAGCACCAACTCAGACACCCCCGTGCTCTTCCATGACTCCCATTTTAAGAGTACTCTGGAGGTGGGATAGGGCAGCAGGTGACCTTTGCAATGGGCTCTCTGCACTCACTCTGCTGTTACTGCCAAGTGGCGCTCTGGGGTGGGTGTCTGTTCAACCACAGGCCACAGGGCTAGTAGTTTCTGTGAATTACAAAGCTGCTACGAGCTCTCAAGCACAGGCTTTCAAGCAAGCCTAGGCTTTGATTTCTCTGGGATGAATGCAGCTGCACATTGAACTTTATAAGAGGCTGAAAGACAATTTCCTTCCTGGCCTCATGTAGAAACTGTTTCCCCAAACCACAGAGGCGGTAAGGTTTAGGGTGAGGTTGCCTGCTGTCCAGCACGTCTTATTAGCGTGGGTCTATGTCTGGGTGCCCCCTCTATGCACCTGGAAGCTACGCGGTGAGCTGGATGGGCGGCCCCCCAGGCTTTCTGCCCGGAAGGAAAACACTTTGGTGGCCTGGCTCCTATGTCCCCAGTATCCTCTCCAGTGAGCAGGCATCCTTGCTGGGGCTTTGGGTGGGAAGTATGCTGATCCTACAGCTCCCTCAGAAGAGGGCTGGCACCTTGGCTGTCGGGTTTTCCACCCACAGGCGCCTCATCTCTCTGCTTTTCCAGGTTATCTGACGTTTTCTCGTCTGTCTGGTTTTGCACTTTCACCACCCATTCTCTGTACGTGTTTTGTCAAGTGTTACTGAAGTGTTTCTTCTTTCTTTTTTAAGTGACTCTAAGTGATGCTGTTTCAAACCTGGGGATCCTTGTCCACACTGCTGGTTTGAGTTTGTCTGCTGACTGTGTGTCCTGTGACCTACTAAATGCGCTCCTGGGATCAGAAAGGCTTTTGTACCTTTGAGATCTCCCACGTGGACGAGCACATTGCCCAAGGAATACAGCGTCACCGTTCCCTTTCCCAAGCAGGTAGCTCCTCCACATCCTTTCCTGCCCAAGTGTGCCGTGTGCACCCCAGTGGGGAGTTGGGGGAAAGGCTGCAATCCTCGTCACCAGGCGTGGGGTCTGCAGGGACTCGGCACGCTGGCAAAGCCCCCTTCCTGTTACCGGTGTGCTGAGAGGGCTCGCCACAGAGGGCTGTCAGGGCCTTTTGTGTGCTGTTGGTGTGACTGTGTACTTTTCCTCTCTGGCCAATTAATGTGGTGCATTCTGTTAATCGGTTGTGGAATGTGAGCCAGCCCTGCAGTCATTCCTGGAATAAACCCTCCTTGGTGGTGCAGTGTAATATTTGTTACATGTTGATGAATCCTCTGTGCTAATATTTCATTGTGGATTTTCACCTATATTCATGAGGGATGTTGCCCTGTGGTGCTTTTTTTTCTGTCTCTGTCTTGTTTCGGTATGGGGTAATACTAGATTCATAAAATCGATTGCAGAATGTTCCCCCTGTTTCCTAGTTCCTGGAATAGGCTGTGTGGGATTGGTTGGTAGAATTCCCCAGTGAAGCCATCTGGGAGTGGAGAGTTCCTTTTTGGAAGGCCGGGTGAGTTTGTGTGGTTCGTTTGGAAGAGTCTGTTTGCTCTGTGCAAGTCATCAAACGCATGTGCAGAGAACTGTGTGCATCCTCACCCTTCGGCCTCTAAGGTCTGCAGTCCTGCCCCCACTGCATTTCCACCACCAGCAACTTGTATTGTTTCTTCTTTACATTTGTCTAAGTAATCTGTTTTCTTTGTTTTTGTTTTCTATTTCTCTGATTTTGGCTGGTTTCCTCCCTTCTGTTTGCTCTGAATTTATTCTGCTGTTTCTCAAATGTGCTGAGGTCAGGGTGCCAACAGCTCCCTCCCAGCTCTGCTCCAGATGCTGCCCAAAGCCTCTGGCTTCATCTTCCATGTAGTTCAGCTCCGTGGACTGTTCAGCTTTCTTGCAAGGCCAATAACCATGTGCTATTTGGTATCCAGGCACCAGAAGGCTCCAGCGACCCTACTGATTTCTGGACTGACCCACGGTCAGAGACCGGCTGTACCTGTGGGACTCCAGTTCTTCTACACCTGTTGAGGTTTAAGGTGGGACCCGGGCTTTTGGGTGGGGGTCCCCCAGATGCACTAGGAAGACGTGTGCTCTGTGCCACCTGTGCAGCGGTCAAGTGTCCCCGAGGTCCTGTTGGCTGATGATGTTCCCGGCTCATCTCTGGGTCTGCAAACTCTCCGTTTCACTGCTCTGTCACTTGCTGAAAGAGGGGTGTTCGGGTCTCCGACTAGAACTCGAGTTTGCCTATTTCTCCTTTCAGGCCTGGCATCTTTACTCAGGAGCCTGTTTCCTAAGGGGTGTGACAGAGCATCACGAGTCGCAGTGTGGAGGCAAGGGCCAGGCTGAAGCCTGGTCACAGGTGACCCAGGTCCTGAGAGACCCTCTCCCAGGATGTGCAGGGAACAGCCCGGGCAGCACTCAGAGGGGACACAGGCCACGAGGGAATAAAGCCAAGGTCAAACCAAACTCCCAGGAACATCCTTAGAGGGACACTATTCTTAAAAAGAACCATTCAGAAAACAAAAGCCATTCAGAACTCCCAGGAAGTTCTTCATGCAACACAGAGGAAGGTGGAGGCCAGCCCAGGGGGCCCAGCATGCATCACCAGAGGGTCACAAAAAAGAAGAGGGGTCAGAGAAGGAGATAAAAGACATGGTCAGGGCATTTTCCCAGGACCAGCGACAAGTGTCCAATGAGAAGCCTTGGTAGGCCCCAGGGAGATATTATTTCCAACCTGGAATTCCATATACACTTGACTGCCAAGGGACTAGAGGCATTCCCAGGTACTGCTGCTTTTAAGTCATCAATGGGATACTCCTATCCCTTAAATAACCAGCATCCCAGACACTCTTGGCCCTTAAGTAACCAGCATCCCAGATACTCCCGGCCCTTAAGTAACCAGCATCCCAGATACTCCCGGCCCTTAAGTAACCAGCATCCCAGATACTCCCGGCCCTTAAGTAACCAGCATCCCAGATACTCCCGGCCTTTAAGTAACCAGCATTCCAGATACTCCTGGCCCTTAACCAGCATCCCAGATACTCCCAGCCCTTTAACAACCAGCATCCCAGATACTCTCAGTCCATAAGTAACCAGCACCCTGGGTACTCCTGGTTTCTAAATAACAAAGGTCCCACAGGCTTCTGGCACAGCTATAGGGACTCCAGGGATGTGGGTCTCCCAGGTTTCGGATCAGCTCCAGGAGATCTGAACCAACGGAGGCAGGCCCGGAAGTCAGGTGGGGTGAGCGTCACCAGTCCCCAGCTTCTCTGCCACCCCACAATGAGCTCCTGTGTTAGCTTGGCTGACAGACCCCAGCAACAGGAGCAGACAGGCCATTCCTGTCCCCGATATCTGGGCCTGGGTGAAGAGAGGCAGGGCCCAGCTGGGGCAGCTGAGTCTAGCAGAGGGAGCAGGGCCAGAGACAGACTGAGGGCTCTATGTGCTGGCTTGGTGCCACCACACATCCAACATGTTCTGCACTTTACCTTGGAGGCCAGAACCGAGGTCGCCAAGGTCTGCAAACGGGTCCAGGCTCTGAGGCTTGCTCCCGCTGGCCGGGGGGCCAGGAGGGGTGGGCTGGCCTCCAGGAGAGAAGAAGGGGCCTGAAGAAGGACAGAGGGCATTAGGGTAAGTGCCACTGAAGTAAGACACGGCATCTGCTCTCCCGCCAAGGCTCTGAAACCTCTCTTGGCTAAGCATCAGCACCACACAGCCCCAGAAGGCACATGAGAGCGTGCGCCAGCTCAGGAGACGCATCCCCTCAGGCATCCAGAGCTGCCCCGGCACCCATGTGCTCCTGTGAGAACAGAAGCTGTCAATTCGTACAAGAGCCAGAAGTGGTCCCACCATCTGGCAGGTGTGATTCCGCATCGTGGCATCTATCTGGAAGGCGAGCATGCCCTCTAACACCTGTAAAGGCGTAAGCTTGCGAGCACTCCACATATGACACACACCCCACCTGAGCAGGTTCTCGTACAGCCGCTGGGTTGTCACTGGCATTGCAAACGATGGCCACTCACACATATACAGCAGCTCTTAACCAGTAACAGAAAAAAGAGGAGTTCCCTAAGCAAAGACACAACTGGAGAACACTTAATAGTTTTCAGGACAACACAACCAACCCGAAACACATGCAGTGAGAGCTAATCCCACCCATGATGAAGAAACATGGGTGCAAAGAACTGACTGCCTATCAAACGGGCAAAAGCTATCTTTAAAGGTATGATCTGCCTTTGGTGGGAGCCCTAGGCTAGGAACCGTGTCTGGGTACGTAAGCCAGCAAGTTCACCGGGAGACATGCAACACAGGCCTGTGACAGCCACTCAGTGCCCGAGAGCTCCCAACAGGCCAGAGTCAGTGATGTGCGGAGAGGACAGATGGGCCCGGAGGTGGAATGCTGGACACATCCGCCCCGAACCGGGGAATGGCGCTGCACCACCAGCCATGGCGCAGATCCCGAGGGATAGCCTGCAGTCCTCTGGGGGCCCCCTCAAAGGCACAGCGATTAGGGGACACAAAATGCTGTGTGGCAGGAAGGGCAGAGCAGGGCAAGTAGCACGTGAGGGTATGTAACAGACTGCATCAAAACACACGTGCACCTGCTGGAGGGCAGGGACCCAGAGGGAATATGGGCGATACACACCACCACCGTTGGGGGACCACGGCCCAAGTCTGTGGGCGTGAGGCCCGACCTGGTGGCCTCGTGGCATGCCAGGATGTAAGCACTGCATCCAGGGTGGCCTGCCCTTCACCCCTTTCCCAGGAGGGGGCTCTGGCTTCACCATGTGTGAAGAGAGAAAGGCGCCCTGCCCGCTCACTGGCTCCACAGGCCAGTCTCACCTTCTGTGGCTGGTACTGGGGTGGGGGCCTCAGCCCAGACGCCCCACCCTCCCAGCAGATCTGGGTGGCTGGCCGAGGCTGTCATCCTGCCAGGCTCTTCCCCTGGAAGAGAGCAGCATTTGGCGTGTCTTGGGGGTACACAGCCTTCACATGGCCCTGTGGGGATGGGTCACACAGCCCCATCTGTGGGGGCCTGACTCCATGTGTGAGCAGAAGGCAGTCCACAGCGCCCCTGCAGGAGGCAGAAGCCAAGAGCGCCCAGCCATCTCCCTCCTCATGGGCAGATGGTCAGTGAATGGATTGCAGGCTCAGGGGCCACGGGCAGTGAGCACGTGTACCTGCAGGTGCTCCCTTGACATGGTCATCACAGACCCTATGGCCACCTACCGGTGCCCCAGGGCCTGCCTCCCAGAGTGCCATGGGCTGGTGTCTGCCACCGTGTCACCTTGCCCAGGGAGGGGGCACTGTGGCTGCACCTGGTCAGCCCAGGGTTCATAGCAAGGACCAGCTTGCCTCACCCGCCCTGGCCCTGCCGCCCTGGGCCTGTGCTCGGCCACCTGGCCTGAGCCCCAGAGCCGAGGCAGTGCTTACCCAGGTGTGCAAAATCGGGGTTGTGGGCCGGTGGCGGGGCACTGTGGATGGATGGGAAGGACACGGATGCAGTGGCTGTAGAGTCTGAAGTAAGAAGTTGGCCAAAGAGGTCGGGCTTGGAGTAAGGCTGGGTATCTGGATCAGACGGCAGCAGAAGAGGGTCAAATGGGTCGGCTGCGGAGAGACACCCGAGACAAAGGTGCAGGTGAGAGGCTGTGTGGGCTGGGCACACCCCCAGATGGCGCCGTGGCCCCTCAGATCCCAGTGAAGCCCTAGCATCCACTCCAGGTCGCCCTCGCCTTGGTCTCTGTACAGGGGCAGAAGCCGTGAGAGGGCTGGGCTGGCACTCCTGAGACCGAAACCCAGGACAGGCGGAGCCTCCTGCTGGCATGCCAGAAGCCCCCAGACAGTCCTGAGAGCACCCTCTTAATGAGACGAAGCTCCTAACACCTCGCCGGCTACTCCACATGGGCGGTGCACATACCAGCCACACGGGGCCCCTCCAGAGACGTGTCCTGTGCACTCAGGGGAGGGGCCGGGCTTGCCAAGAGCACAGGAGTCTCTCCACCCAGCAGATCGCCTGGGGAGCCCTCTGGAGCAGACTCGGGGGCCCCCAGGAGGCAGCTGAGCAGATCGGTGTTACTGGACGGGGCTCCATAGGCTTGCACGGGGGGCGCAGGCCCCGCCTCGGAGTGCAGCCCCAGGAGGTCGACACTGTCCTCCTGCAGTGCGGGCGCCTGCGGTATGCCTGGCGAGTCAGAGTCAAAAATCAATTCTCCATCTTGTGGCCTCATGGCTGGGCCCGGTGTGTCCTCATCAGCCGTGTCCTTGCTCTCCACTGAGCATACTGCGGCTTCCTCATCAGAGGGGTCACTCTCACCTCTGACCTCAATGGGGGCCGGCGGACTCTCCAGGGACAGGGTACATTCGGGGCCGGCCTCTGCGTCTGTCTCCTCTGGAAAGAGAACAACGGATGGCGTGGCTGCTAGTCACAGTGGACAGGCAGCGGGGCAGCCACGCAGAGTAGAGGCGCTCAGGCTGGAGGGCAGGGAGGACGCACAGAGGCCAGGGTGCTGGGCACATAATACCACAGCGCCCTCGCTGCCCGTGCCCACTGCCACCCTAGAGCCCAGACGTGTGCTCAGGAGCAGCAGACGTTGGCAGGCGAGTGCGTCTGCATGGAGACCTGGCCTTCAGATGCTGAGATGCGCGGTCCGGGCAGGTGCATCGCTGCCTACCGTGCCCATCCAGTGTGTGCACAGAGTGGCTGGTGTCCGGGCCGCTCTGCGGTGAATCTGACTCTGTGTGCTCTGTATCTGGAGACCCTGCCTCGGCGTCGTACTGAGTGGTGGAGCCGGGCTGCCGTGGGAGCTCTGGCTTCCCTGCCAGGGAAAGCGGTGTATCAGGCCACACGGGCCCAGGACACACAGCCCGCAGCAACCAGAATGTGGCCCCAGGGCTGGGCCCAGAGCGGGATGTGCCGTGCAGCAGTCGCCTGGCCACAGGTTTGCCTGACTCCAAACCAGCAGGAAAGCTGGAGCCCAGCCTGTGAGGAGCCCTCCAAGTTGGTTCAGACACTGCCCTGGGCCACATGTGCACAGGTGTATACACTCACACACATGCACATACGCACTCACATGCCTATATACAGGCACATACACACTCACATGCACACACAGTATGTGTATGCAACACATTTGCATGTACATACCTACACATACTCCTGTGTGTGTGCACACCTACATGCATGTGCACCACACAGGGAACACACATACACGTGAAGAAATGTGCACATTTGTGTGCACACATGTGCACTTCTCAGGGACACTTAACTGTCTTCACTTTAGAAAGTGTACAAAATGCAAACAGGAACATGACAACTGTGATATGGACAGCAAACAAGACCGTGAGTCCTCGTGGCAGCGTGCCTGTGACGACTCAGGGCCCCACTGCACCTGGTGGGTCCAGGATGAGGCCTGGACTCAAACTCACCTGGTGGGTCCCAGCCCTCCCGCCGATGACCCCTAGGGCAGGGCTGTGGGGAGGAGCGGGACCCTGCGGGTCTGGGAATGGCCAGACCTCAGACAATGCCAGCCCAAGGACCCGCCTGGCTGGGGCAGGAGCTCTGAGGCCCCCCGCACCCTCACACAGCTGAGGCAGTGCCAGGTGTGGGCAGGGCACACCGGCCTGAGGGGCACTCACTAAGGTGAGAAACATCACCTGCAAATGGGTCCCAAAACATACAAGGATCTCACCAAATTTAGAAAGAACGTCTTGCTGCTCCTCGCGGCTAGAAAACAGGATTTTGGGGTTTAGCCCCCTCATGCTTGTGCCCTCCCAGGGTGGGGCCTCCTGGCTGGGCCTGTCTCTGGGCTCCACTTCCACCTCCAGGTTCACTTGGAACAAATCTGGGTATTTCTCCTGAATGTCACAAGCATCGAGGTCATACCTGCATCACAGATGGAACAGTTAGGAAGGACTCAGCTTTGCTTGGGTCGCCCCAACCTTCACTAGGAAACGAGCACACAACAGGGTGTGCTCAGCAGGTGCCCCCTGGGGCAGTGGCGTCCGTCCTGCCCTCTGTGCTCGGGCAGCACATCTCAGAGCCACGCCAGCCACCCTCAGGGAGCATGGGGCCAGCCCTTGCCCACACCCTGCGGGACCTGCAACACAGGTTGGGCATGCTGGGATCTTAAAACGTTTCCATAAAAATGACGCCATTCCCCTCTCACAAATTCCCCAGTGATGAGCAAATGCCCATAAAACCAAGACATCTGGGATCACCCACAAAGCTGGGGAGCAGAATCCCATAGGAAACGCAGGCATGGTCACGGTGGGGCCCGGGGGGTGGGGGGAGGCAGCACTGGGCTGTCCCAGGCAGGGCGGGGGAGGGGCGCGAAGGTTCTGGTCTCCAGCGGCTACCTGAGGTGGTGGGCGGGGGCCTGGGAGACAGGTGTGCCCAGGGCCAAGAGGCAGGGAACACTTCAGTGGCCACTGAACTGCCTTAACTCTGTGGAATGGACCTCTCTAAGGATCCCATTCCACATTTCCCTTAACTCCTAAGATCCCCTGGTTTAACACTTCCACAAACTGTGATGGGCCCTAGTTCTCCAACCAGGCTACGGGCTCCCCAGTGTCGTTCCCACTTTATGTCACCTACTGTCCACATGTTCTTTGTTTTATATTTATTTTGACAGTAGGATGACAAAAAGAGACACAGAAGGGGCGGCGGCGGGTCCTGAGCAACTCGAGGTGCTGGAGGAGGGGCTCTGTGGTCCCCTGCCAAGTGTGTGTGGCACCAACAAAGCAGCACAAAGCCAACCATGGGCAGCCCCAGTCTGGGCAGTGAGCCACACAGGTCCAAGGTCTCACTTCTCTGGACGTGGCGTGTAAGAAGCGAGCACGCGGGGCGCCACTGTGCAGCGCTTATGCTTTCCAACCTTTCCACTCCTGTGGGGCCGATGTGGCATGGGGAGAGTGGCTGTCCACGCCCCTCGCACACTGGCTCCCACCAGAGCCTGCCACAGACTTTCTCCTTCTCTAAGCTCTAACCTCAGTGAGGTGACGCCATGGGTGAACGCTCAGCCAGGCAGGAGAAGCTAAAGTGGGAACTGTGGGTGGTGGTCCTAGAGAGGACCTGGACCGCCAGGCCCCCCACCCACAAGGAGGGGAGGCCAGGAAGCAAGGGAGGAGGAAACGATGCAGGGGCCCACACAAAAGAACACGTGACCTCTGCAGGCTCAGCTCCAGGGGCAGCAAGGCCTTGGGGGCAGCTCCAGGCACCACGCTAGGGGCCAGCCATCCCCACCTCTCTTCCCTGGCTGCCCTGACCCCTAGAGACTGTCCCCAGGCCAATGAGGGAACAATGGGGGTCTGTGAGCAGGGGCACAACCCCCAAAGACCCAGCCTTCAGGGCGGCATAGGGCCCAGGTCCCACTCGACAGGCCCCACCCGAGGGGGCTCCCGACACACTGGGCTGGGAAACAAAGCTGCCCATTTGTGTCCCAAATGCGACCCCCCCAGGTGAGGGCAGGTGGTGTGTAATCTCATGTGACAACACATGGCTACGTCGCATAAATTCTCCCCTTGTCTGGTTCCAACTGCCTCTCTGGCAAAATGCATCCGGCCTGAGAATGGCTCCCTCTCCGGCATCCATCGGACCACCCCACAGCTCCTCACTTGATTTCTCTGCACTGGGGGCACAGCATACATGGTCACCCCTGCCAGGTGCTGTGCTTGTACAACCATAGTCAGAAAACTACGTCTCTCTCCAGCCCCCAAGAAGCTCTCCACCTCTCCAAGCCGTCAGCCTAGGGAAGATACTCAAGGGCCACCATGGCCACACGAGGCCTGAGCTGATGTGGCCCTGCTGCTCAAGGGTGCCTATGTGTGTGCATTCTGCCCGTGTTCAGCACACCACGGCTCAGCACCGCCAACAGCCAAGGGCGTGTGGCGTCCTAGCCCCAAGGGGTTGGCGCAGCACGGTGACTGTGGCTCGCACTGCACTGCACGTGCAGAAGTTGCTAAGAGAATAGATCCTAGAGGTTCTCATCACAAGAAACAATGTTAATAGCGTGTGGTGGTGGGTGTTAACAGGCCTTTTGCTATTACCATTTTGCAAAACACATACATACTGAATCTTCGTGTTTATGCCTGTGAGAAGGTCTGGCATGCTTTTATTTGGAGTCTGAGGAGAGATGGCAGTATTTGAACAATTAGTGTATGTTGCACTAATTTATCACATGTCAATTACAACTCAGCGAAAGCTAACAAACACAGCAGCTAGGAGCACCCTTTGTGGGTCTGCTTTTGGTCCCTGGCACTCCAGTCTCCTGGGGAGGCTCGGACATACAGCTTGGGCACTTTTCTGAGGCCACCCCACCCCGCATCCCTCCTGCATCGCAGGAGAGCCCCTCCATGTCCTTGCCAGCGAGACATCCCCCCCCTCCTACCCCCGGGGCTTTAGTTTTTAGTATTTGGCTGTGATGTGCTTAGGGAGGGGCTTCTTCTCCTTTTACAAAAATACTCCTTTAAGGTTTGATGCCTTCCAGCAGTTTCAGAAAATTTTTAGGCAGTAATTGTTCTGTTCCCTCTTCAACCAGAACTCAAGATAAAAACACACCAGACCTCAGACCCCCCAAATATCTGTTAGGTCCCTCTCTGTATCTCCATTCGTTTTCTCTGCTGTAGTCTGAAGGTGCTTCCTTCCAAATCTACCACTTCAACGAAACACACACCGAGCTAACTGTGGTTCTAACATCGCCTTCTCTGACAGAACCCGGGTCTCCAGGGCATTCCCTGTCCTTATCTTTTCCTGAAATGCGTCGGTCAATTACTAGGGCCCATCCACGACCGTGTATGGTTCGCCGGTGCTTCACCTACTTCTTCCTCCTGGTCTCATTATCTGGTCTTCCAAAAAAACGTTCTTAAATTATGTTTGTGTTACGGTTAAAAACTACCAAAGGAGGGAAAAAAACAGAACTGTAAAAATGTGACATTTCTGATCTTTGTAGTGTCTTTTTCATATGGGGCACTTAAACATCATAAAGTGCCCCTAAGAAAGACAAAGGCAGGACACAGAAACACTTTAAAGTGTACGAACATGTGGAAACGCACAACGTACAGCCTCAGTCTCCTGACACTGACTATGAGGGCGGCAGGCGCACCCTCCCTGGGCCTTACCCACACATAGGCTCCAGGCGACGTCACTGGCCAGAGCACAGCAGGACCCCCAGGACGCTGGTGTCAGGGCTCAGTCCTCCCAGGACCCCCAGGACCCAGGACCCCAGGGTCAGGGCTGAGTCCTCCCAGGACCTGGGGTCAGGACTCAGTGTGCTCCCAGGACCCCAGGCATGAAGGCCGACATTGCACACTGGCCGCGCATTAACCGCTGCATGCTTCAGCACACAGTGCACAGCTGGGGAAGCTGTGCACCTGCTCTTGCTGTCCCTCTCCCGCATGTAACACCAGCGTACTTAGCAAATCTCACGGTGGCTGCGTTCCGGGGCACAAAACCAGTGTGGAACTGGACCTGGAACATCTTCATGGCCGCCATCTGCAGAGAAAGCACACAGGAGGGAGGCTCTGAGCGGGAGCAACACCAGACCCCACCGCCCACAGCCTTCACAGTGAGCCTGGCCTCAGGTGCTGGGGACACACGGACGTGGGGCAGCAACCTCCCAGGGCTGTGGTGGGGCAGCCCCAGGCCACAGCCCAGCAGGCCCCAGTGCAGACGGCAGCCCCAAGACACGGGGGCTCCAGGTGTGTTGGACTAAAATCCCCTGCCTTGTGCCACCTGAGGTGGGACTCACAAAGGCAGCCAGTGAACAGGGGCTGCCCCACCCTGGCTGAGCGCGCACCCACCTTGGCCTGCAGCCTTCCTCCCAGGGTGGACCTCGCGTGGTAGATTATAACAAGCACATCCCCTTGGACTGTGATGCCCAGGGGAATAACAGCCTTGCCATCCTCAATTTTAAAATCCCTACAGAACAGAATGATGAGAAATGGTTCCTGTGAGTCAAAACCACAGTGTTGTCCAGAAGAGTGGCCTTGAAAGGGTGAGGCCCCTGCCTGGCGGGACCCTGAGTTCTCCCAGAGAGAACCCACGCGGTGTTCCCAGAGTCTGGGCAGTGAGGCTGGGGCAAGGCTTCAGGAAATGACTTGCAGGAAGTCACTCAGCAGCTCACAGCAACATCTCCCCATGGCACCATCGGCCTTCCCCGTGGCATTGCCCAGAGCGTAAGAATGGAGCAGTGTTGCCGTGGGGCGAGGTGGGCCCTGCCCTCCGCTCACCTCATCCTGTCGTACTCCTGGGACGTGGTGGTCACACGCTCGTCCCCCACGTAGACCTCGCAGAAGGGCCTGCAGCCGGTCCTCTGCTTGCTGAACAGTGGCACGGGTGTCATTGTGACAGCCCTCACCAGGATGGGCTTGCTGTGGGGCACAACAGGATCCTCGGCCACCATGTCACACATGTACTCGATGTACCTGTGGTAGGGGGGAACCATGTGCTCCGTCTGCAGGGACACGGCGTGTGGCCGTCTGTGTCCTGGAGCCCTGATCAGAACCCCAGACCATTCTTGGGCCAAATCTAAGCACCTAATACTGTAAGTTTCCCTTGAAGCAATGTTCTGGTTTCACCTCACAGATTTGACGTTAACAATTTTCATTCAGTTCAAAATGTTTATAAATTTCCCTTGAGACTTCCTCTTTGACCCATGCATGGGTTATTTATAAGAAGGCTGTGTAATTTTGAAATATCTAGGGATTTTTTCCAGATACATTTCTCTTATCAGCTCCTTGCTCAGTTCTATTATGGCAAACATATTTTGTATGATTTCTATTTTTTTAAGTTTGCTGTGGTTGAAGAGTCCAGAGCATGGTGCTCCCTACTGAATGTTCATGCGCTCTGGGAGGGAGAGTCCTCTGCTGCGGTTGGGCACACTGCTCCCGAGGTGCCCAGGCTCTGTCCTGGTCTGCCCGTTACTAGGACAAGTGCTGAGGTCTGTGCTGTGCTGTGACTACTTTTACTGGTTTTTGCTCTATAGATCTGGAAGCTACTCAACATGGTGTCACTATTCCAGCTTTCTTTGGTGTGTGTGTCTGTGGCATGCGCTCTAGGGCACCTGTCCCCTGCCTCTTGGTGCTCCTGGCTCACATGACCCCACCTCCTTGGGGTGGCACAGAAGCAGCAACCTGATTCTAACTAAAAATGAAGGGAGGTCACACGGAGTGGATGTCACACGTCACTAGTGGATTTGCTCTTAGGTTCTTGCCCACAGCCCTGCTAGGAAGCCCACGTGAGGGCAAGTCACAGGGCGCCAGGGTGCCCAGAACTATGTCCACAGCAAAGGAGCTCCGCGAACCTGAGTGAGCTTGGACACGGCTCAAAAGGGAAGGGTTAGGCTGGCTCTCAGTGGCGCAAGACTGGTCCCAGAGCGCTGCCCGGCCACACACCCACACACCACCACACACGCCTGGACTCCCAGCCCACAGAAATGGAGAGAATGAGTGCTGGCTGTTTTAAGCCACTAAGTGTGTCCTAGTCTGTCATACAGCAATGGACAGCTGTTTCCACTGCCCACTGCGACACAGTGGCCTCCCTGCGCATGGTACACACAGCTCGGCCTCCTGCTCTGTTCAACTTGAAGGCCCTGTCTTTCAACTGGTGTGTGGCCCATTGGCATCCAACCTGCCAGCTGGCGCAGCTAGGCTCAAACGCACCCTGGCTGTTCTGTGCTGCACCTGTCCTGGTTCCCTCTATTTCACGATTCTCCTGGATTAACTGAGCATTCTTATGCTTCCACTTTATTTTCCCTGTTGACGTACCAATCATAGCAGGTAAAAAACCCTTTGCTGGTCCCTAGGTTTCCGACCCCAGCCGCTTTCACTTGTGTGCCCTCCTTCACCCCCATGTGTGATTTCCAGCAGTCTGAGGGCGGTGAGCCCACGTGGACTTTCTGTGTCAGGTGTGTGCTGTTCTGAACCCTGCAAGGTGGGCTCTGAGCTTCTGCCGTTAATTCTGGGAAGTTCTTGGCCACTGTGCTTTGGCGTGTCCCCTTCCTGGCTTGCCCCTGCCACTGGAGCCAGCGTGGGGCTGTGCCCTCCAGCTGCCTGAGCTGGTCTGACAGGTCTGCCCACGCAGCTCCTCCCTCCTTGGATTTCCTCCTCTCTTCTTGGGGGAACCATAGCCAGGCCACACCATAACAAGTGACGCTCTTCCTGGCTCTGCCTGCCTGTGAGCGGCAGCTAAGCACAACATGAGAACCCAATATACATGGGACTTGGGAGCAGAAGGGCCTTTAGGGCAACAGTTAAGGGGTTGGCAGCCCAGCACATGTGCTTGGCAGCCTCGCTCCTGCTTCCTGGCGCCTCTGCATGAGCATGCAGCCACCCCGTGCCACACAGAGGACACCACTGGAGGCACAGCTCTCTCTGGTGGCCGAAGACCACGCTGCCAACACCCCCTGCCCTGGGCAATGAGCTGAGATGGGCCCCCACGAGGAATGGCACATACCCATCCCCACCTGCTGGCAACAGGCTGGGTGGCCACTTGGAGTGGAATGAACAACTCACAGGCCTGCTTTCCCTTTCTTCCCGCTGGCGCAGGACCGGGGGCGGCAGGGCCAAAGTGGGGTCCCGCTCTCTGTGCTCTCAGGGTCTGCACTGTCCACACCAAGGCCCCTTGGACAGAAGGGGGAAGAGCACCCCAAGCGTGTCCAGAGAAGGTGTGCCCCAGGAGGGACTCCTCAGACCCTGAGCACCACGGGGGTGCAGGGAGGGGGACTGACACGCGCGAGGACACCTGGCTGGCACCCCAGAGGGAGAGCAGTGCGGTAAGGCAGCAGGGAGGAGCCACTCCCTCTGCGCTTCAGGCAGAGCCCCTCCTCCACACAGACACAGGGCAGCATGACCCGAAGGCCTCAAGGAGCCCTGGCCGGTGAGTCCACACTTGGTTACCAAATCGTCCTGGGTGCATGTGGCCTTCATCCGTGGCTCTTGAAAACACTTCAGAGCCTTGCAGGTGAAACCTTAATAAGGTGTCTTCTGCACCCCACCCAATGGTGGGGGGCTAGTCGCCGGGAACCAGCTGTGCTTGAGGGCTAAGACCTGCCACCCCCACCTCTGGGGAGGGCACGGAGGCAGGGGGCCGAGCGAGCCAAAGGCCAAAGGCTCCGTCGTGGACACCTCTGCAGTGGCACACCACAGACCCAAGAGGGCGGCTGCCAGCCCTTTTCTCAGGGAACTCCCACACTCGGGGAGCCAGAACGCTTCCTGTGCTGCCAGGCCCGCTATTCCTTCCTCGCATCCTCTAGGGAACTGGAGGACGTGAGTGAGTGCCTGCCTGGCTTTTGTGAGCCCTTCAAGCAAATTAATCGGATCTGAGGCAGTGGCTGTGGGAGCCGGCTGGGCAGGAGCATGTGCAATGGCCTTTGGCTGGCATCTCGGGGGCAGTCCTGGGGGACTAGGTCCTCAACGTAGGGATCTGATGCCACCTCCAGGCAGGCAGTGTCAGGACTGCCTGGGTGGTGTGTGCCCCCCTGTCCGCCCCACCATGGGAGCTGGGTCCAGGGGATACCTAGAGTCCCTGCAGCAAAGAGGCTGAACCACACAGCTCGCAGGAGGGCCCCACCCAGCAGAAACACTGTGCCACGGCACCAGGCTCTGTGGCAGCAGCTGGCCCAAGGCCCGGCCCTCATTGCACAATAAGCATGGAGCTGTGCTGGGCTCAGACCTGAACCTGCGGTCACCACCGAAGCTGGGGACAGGGACCACACAGAGGAGGCAAGCTCTGCCTCAGGAGCCGCAGGGTGCAAGTTCCCACCCTGAGTGGGTCCACCTGGGGCTTTCCAGTCCACCCGGCAGGCCCCTGAGGGTGGGCTGTGGGGCGGAGATGCACTTACCAGGCCTGGAGCCACCCAGTGTCACACAACCCACACCCTTTTCCAAAGCCTCCCCACCTGCCAGTGCCGGTGGCCAGGACCTGGCATGGTGACACCACAGCCAACATCTCCAAGCAAAACACCCGGTACCTCTTGTGGGACGGCCAAATGCCCGGTGGGCAGCGCTTCATACTGAACATGTACACGGCAGCCTCTGCGGTGCTGAAGAGCCGGCAGAAGCACAGGAAGGAACACACAGCCACGGCGGACGCGGCTCTTCCATCCTGGGGCACAGGGCACAGGACAGGGTCACACGGCGGGCCGGGGGAGCAGCTCCCAGAGCACGCACATCACAGACATCCCTAGAGGTGCCTGGGCTTTCCTCCTGGGTTTAGAACAGCTTGGGAACTGAAAAAACACACCTGACAGGGTGAGAAGGCAGATCTGAAAAGAAAAGCTTCCTTAACAGAAAGCACAAGGCAGCTTCTCCAACAGGGAGCTGCTCACGCCCAAGTCCTCACCTGGACTTCACGCCCACCCTGGCTGCTGTCCCCCCGACACTCACTGCCTTCCCCTCGGTGCTCACCCCACTGACCCCTCCACATGCCCCAACCCTTGTCAAATCCTGGTGTGACTTCTGACACCACAATGGCAGGCTAACCTCCCAGTGCCCGTTCTGGCAGATGCCCCACTGTGAGGAATGCCCACAAGCCTGACCCTCTCAGTGTGGTTGGGGAACTGGATGCACAGGGGGTGTGAGCAGCTCCCTGTTGGAGAAGCTTGTCTTCAGCACAGTAAGAGGAGCAGAAATGGGGCACCAAGAGGCAGCGTGGGCACAGTGCCAGGCCTCCAAGACCCACACAGGTGCTGCCATGGGGACGCTATGTCCCACAAAGGGGGCGTTGACCACTGGCACGGCACTGTCCCAGCAGGGCCCCATGTGTGCCCGAGGGCCTGGCCTTTTACTGCAGCAAGGCCTGGCACCAGTCTGCCAGGTGCACCTTGAGAAGGCAGGGGCTGCACAGGGCACTGGCTGGGGCCACTACCACACTCCAGCGCAGGACCTCCTGGGACCTGCATGGCCCCCGGCCTAGCCCAGTGCCTCCCAGAGACCTGGCCCTCAAGAAGCTGGCAGGCTGACGGTAGTGCACGGACAGCTACAGTCACTAGGCTGGTGGGCTCACATGTGTACCCTGCAGCCTCATCCCATACCCCAGGAAGGCCTGCCATCGCTGGGGTGGCACCCACACCCTGCCTGGGGTCGGCTCACCTCAATGCAGCACGTGGCCGCCGAGCCCACCTCCTGGGCACCTCCCCTCTGATGCCCTGGATGCCACATCCCATTGCCCAAGGGCAGCGACTTTCCCTGCTCCATGCTGTCTTCCCTCCCACAGGCCCACTGCACTCACCACGCAGTGCACGACACACACATTCCTGTGGTCCTGCCGGAGCCATGCGTGCACATTCTTGCAAAGGCTGTACAGGCCATGGAGGCTTGGGGCCCGCCTGGCTGCCCAGCCACACTCAGAGACCTGAGGGGAGACGCCCAGCTCAGCCTGAGTGCCCTGCGCCTACCCTGGACAGACATGGCACATGCCTCCAGCCGACGCTCCCTGCTGGTCCCTGGGTGCCTCTGTACAGGAGAGCGGCAGGCTACTGCACCCTGGGCAAAAAGAGCTCAGACATACATGCACCAGTTTAAATATGGTAAGAAGCATCTGTGCCCTAAATGTTTATTTAGGGGCTACGAGTGGCGAGGCCACAGGTCCCAGCAGTCCTTTGCTGACATAAGTAAACCTGACTTCTCCTCAGTTCATGCTCTGTAGTCTTCCTTGGTCAGACTCTGCCGCATGCTACACGTGGACCCCATGCCAACTCGTGCTGTCACACCCCCGAGGACCCGGCCCTCCCATCGCCATCCCTGAGCCTCCACCGTCAGGGCCCTAAACTCCATTCACTGTCACTGCTGCGGGTTGTCAAAGGTCAATCTAGCACCCTATGGAGACTGAGGACCAACCCTAAGAAAACCACATGAAGTGCGAGGCAACTGCCGGGGCCACCCACCCGGTTGTGAAACTTGGAGGGCCGGTACGTTCTGGTACACAGGTTGTAGACCATGTAACGTCCCGGATGCTTGGAGTCCAGAAACAACCTCACATCTTCTATGTTATTTTTGATGGCAGATTCCACACCCTCTGCCGGGAACGACATCACTGAAAGGGAAAGAGCCCACGTCAGCTGCCTGCACAGGTCCTGACCTTGCCCTCCCACGGTTGCTGGCCAACAGGGTGGGGCACTGAGAAGGGGCAGGCACAGATGCCCTTCCTGGCAGCCATTCACAGGGAGACCCTCTGGCATCTCCAGGCAGTTCCATGGGAACAGCAGTTCTGCCAGAGAGCCTAAAGCACAGCAGGGTCTCCAAGCATGCAGACATCACTTTCAGTTTTGATTTTTGCCTGGAGACCCAAGTTTGAAATGTGCGTGGCCTCGCATCATTCCCCTCATGACCTCTGCGTCCCAGGAAGCTCCAGACCAGGGGGCAAAGCCAGGCACAAGGATGGGTGCCCCAGGCTATGCCTCTGGCGAGTGAGTGGCTGCCAGTCCAAGAGGTGCTCCGTCCTTCCCCACCGGCCACACCTTCCATGCCCCGCCTGACATGGCCTGGGATGTGCTGGAGGCCAACATTCCATAAGCTATCCTCAAACACAAGAATCAGAAGCATGTCCTCATGCCTAAGGCAGCAAACGCACCAGCAATTCTGGATGTGATGTAAGATATGTCCAAATCTCCCTTTGCATAACTGGAAATAAAAAGAGCACTTGGTTATGACAGGAAATGTCTATGGTTAAGTCACAAAAGCATACACTGGAGCAAGTCCTATACAGGCTCTGGGGGATCTCACAGTTCAGGCTGCAGCTAATGGGAACACTGTGTGCATATGAGCGCACGTACATGTGTGTGAGTGCATGCACATATCTACATGTGTGTCTCACTACATGTGTGTCTGTGTGTCCACAGAGGGGGTGCCCAGTGGCCCACAGATTCCCATGGTAAGCAGGGCCTCCAGCAGAGCCCTGGGGTGGCCAGAGACCCCTGCAGGGTCTGAAGCCCACCGTGCAGGACTCCACCTGAGGGACTCCATCGGCGAGCACAAGTGGGCCTGGCAGGGAAAGAGGTATGCCTGCCTTCCTTGCCGTGCTGCTGGCACGCATGGTCAGGCACCTGAGAGTCATGGCCCCTGGTCCTTTCCAACCCTGGCATAAATGGCCAGGATCCACGTCTTCACCACTTCCTCATCCAGTCCTCTGCTTTTTCTTTGTGTGTTTGATAAACAAAAAGCCAGCAAGTTTGTCTTATGGAGTTTCCCTACAAACTCCTGAGTCTGTCAGCATCTGAGATGCTTCCATTCACTCAATTTGAGGTTCAGGGGCTCCAGCACCAGCCAGCAGGCACCCCAGGCCTGGCCCTGCCAAGTGTCTGGCAGCCTGTGATAGCCCCACCTTGGTCTGAGTGTCAAGGAGGTGCGCCCCATGGCAAGGGCCCCAGGCCAGGGCTGTCACCTTGCATAGCCCACCCAGGGATGGACTCTAACTACCCCTGCTAAATCAACCTGGTGAGGCCAGGGGTTTTGCCACATTTTTCATCTCAAACATACATCCTGGGCCAGAGACAGTTACATGCAGGCCCAACTGCTTATCCTGAGAGACTTCTTCCAAGGGTAGCTGTGCCTGTGGTCTGGGAGAGATTTCAGCAGTGTCCTCACCATCCCCAGAACTGAGCAAAGTGACTCCCTGGGCCCAGGCTGCTTGCACAGAAATACGTTTTGCCGAGAAGCTTTCCCTCTGGAGTCTGGAGTCTAGTTGTGCCAGGCACAGGGCAGAGGGTGCCTCTGGGGCCAGCTGGACACCCCCAGGAGCTGGATCTCCACAGAGCTTCCCATGTGCCGTTGCAGCCAGGCTGGGAACCAAGTCCCGCATGACTGCACGCAGCAAGGGCTCTGGAAGCGGTGCCTGGCTCCCCCAGGCCCTGCACCGCGAGCCCTTCTCCATGCTGATCCAACTGCCCCTCCTCTGAAATAAATCAGCCATGAGGATTGCTCTGCACAAAGGCTCCTGTGCCCTCCAGAGAATGGCCAACGTGGGGATCAGGGACTCTAAAGCACATCCCCCTTTTTCTATTCTGGAGATCCTCATGGTGACTGTGTAACTTATCCCCAGTGTCACACCAGAATGGTGCTGAGCAGCCTCTGGCCTACTGTGGCCCTGTTCCTGGGCATGCACCACCCTGTGCCTGAGTCACCGGTGAGAAACAGTGCTGGGTGTGCCACTGGCCTGGGGCATGCTACCAGGAGCTGTTTCCTCGAACTGATGCTCCATCTGGGGATGCAAGTTGGCCAGAGACTACAAGTCGGTCACAAAATCAGCTCAGTCGGGAGCAGCTGGCCCACGTTGGGCTGTTTTTCAAAGAAAAAACCTTGGCCTCTGAGACAGCATGTGAATACCAAGCCTCCCTTCTCACAGAAGCTGGCCCTTGGGAGGCAGGCCTTGGGGTGCCTGCCACTCACAGCGTGAGACCAAATGCTTGCCATCTCCGGCACAACCCGGAGCCGGTCACAGGGGCCAAGGGTGGCAGCATGACCATGGGCGTTGCCCGCTCTCCTCCCAACAGCCTGACCTGGGCCATGACTGGCTGGCCCACTTGAGACCCTGGGAGAAGGGGATCTTGGCCAGGTGTCACATGCTTTACTCTTTTGAGAGTGAGGCTGAGGGACTTCTCTCATATCCAGGAGTTACCTGTTCATCATTGTCAGGCTGTGATTCAAGAGCCCCCAGTCCTGGGACCCTCCCCTGGGAGGATGTAAGGACACAGCTTCGTGGGGCTGAGTGAAGCCCTGGGGACTGCAGCCCATCAAGGTGACAACTGGGCTGCGGCTCACATGCCCTCAGACCCTCAGCAGCACACACAGATGACATGTGAGGGCCACATGGCCATGGTGGGGAGCAGAGCTCCACCTCTGCCCTTCACACCCAGACCAGAGCCACGACCTGGCTGACCACTCCAGCCTGTGGAGGGCTGGGAGCCAGCACCACAACCACGCAACACCTGCCTGGACAAGGCCTGGTCTGGGATGCTGGCAGGGCTGTGCAGATGCGCAGTCCTACAGGACACCTGGGCTCAGTGGAGACCAGGCTCCTCAGTACATAAGGTCACGTCAGGGACATTAAGTCAGGTGCACGCACAGGTACACACATGGAGGGTGGCACAGCATACTCACAACGCATGCACATACACACGATACAGGTGCTCACACCCATGACACACGTGCACACAAACATGCATGACACATGTGATCAACACATGACACATGTGCACATGAACACAACTTCACTGGTTTTGCCAGCAGCTATGGACACAGAACAATGACCCTGGCCCAGAAAAAAGAACAGAGAAAACCAAGCCTAGAAGTTCCACACCTGCCACAGGGATATGGTGACCACACACCCAGGGAGAGATGCCCTGGCTCCCTGACTGGGGGTACACGACACGTCAAAGGTAATCGCAACCCAGCTCTGCACACCTGAGATAGCTGGGACAGGGTGTGGTCACCGCTCGTCAATGCTGATGCCTCCCAGGGGGTGAGCAGCGGCTACACTAGGGACCAGGAGCAAGGGCGCAGCAGCAGCAATGACACACACCCAAGGAGCCCCCCATCAGAGCTGAGGCCCCTCCAGGGACACAGCAGTGAAGGTCACACATGCCAGCATCCATCTGTGTGGCCACGTGTTCCCCTGACCATCCACCTCCCAAGTGACTCCATCCATCACACTCCACAGGCCCACAGCCGAGTGACAACCCTCCAACTAAGGGCCCAGCGCTAACGAGGTGCCACTACCCTACTGCACACCACCCAGGGGAATGTGTGCGCATGTGTGCCTGTCCCAGCAAGAAGCCCAGGGCCCAGAGCTCTGCTGGTCTCCATGGAAAGAGCCTCCCTGTGGAGAGGGTGGCACCCACCCATGGCTCCAGAGGCCACCTGGCTGGTGATGCCAGTGCCTCTCTGCTCTCCACCAAGTGCCTTCCCTGGCAGGGGCGGAAATGGGGCTGCAGGGCCCCCATCCCACAGTGTGAAATCCACCTGGGTTGTGTGTGGGTCAAGTCTGCCCAGAAGGCCAGGGGCTGGCATGGAGAATGGCCTGTTCCTGCAGCCTCAGCTGTGGGTTCTGGGGGCCTGGAGGTGAGACCACGCCTGAGAAAGCAGGAGCTGCTTCCAAGCGTGTGCCTGCATGCCCTCACTCACCTGGCAACAGACTGGATGACCTTGGATGAGGTGTCCTTGAGGTTGGTGAAGAGGCGCCCAGTGCCCCCACGCAGGATGTCCAGGAGCCCACCATAGGGCTGGTCATACTCAGCGACCGCCAGGCCTGTGAGCAGAGATGAGCCTCAGGCAGTGTGGGGCCTGTGGGCTATGCAAAGAGCAGTGCTGGGCAGCTCCCAAAGAGGGGATAGCCTGGAGCAACAGACCCCACAGGGGGCCATGGCCCTGCCAGCCAGGCCCAGGAATGAAACCGTGACTGGGCCCCAGCCTGGTGGGTGGCATGCCTGTCCACTGTCTGCAAGATACCCCAGGTCACTCTCATGAAGGCAGAACCCAGGTGCCATCAAGGAGAGCCAGACCTTCCACTCCTGAATCAGTGCACTGGCCCAACCCGCTTCTAGCATTCGCTGATCACCAGTGGGGCAGCCATGCGTTGCACATGCTAAGGGGCCCAGCAAGGTGGGGGTGGGGGTCTTGTCCTAAGGCGAGTGGGTGGAGGTGGACATGGAAGCTGTGGAGAAGGACAGGTGGGGAAGGCTGTGCAAAAGGAAGTAGCCAGAGGCTCCGCCAGCCCAAGCTGTGCAAAGACAGGCCACGTGGCGGACCTCGGTCAGGCTTCAGGCTGGGACTCTCGTCTGAGGGGTCACCAGGATAGAGACCAGCCTCCTGGGGGTGGCCCTCATGGGCAGCAGTGGTGCAGGAGTCAGCATGGAAGTGTGAAACATACATGGGATCCCCCAGGGCCATGCCAGGTCCCTCCTGCACAACACAGCAACACCAGAGACCAGGAGTCAGGTCCCAGCCAGACGAGGGGCTGCTGGGCAGCTGCTGAGATGCAGCCAACATGTCCCGCGTATGTGACGTTTGGCCCTTCACCAGCAATGACCAGCCTGGCCCCAGCCAGCCACCACTACTCACGTGTGCAGAGTGAGCACACACCTGAGGTCTGCTCTTATGTGGGCACCTTGGGAACTGAGTCCACAGCAGTCACAGCAGCCCCACGTGCTCGGTGCTCACCCCGTGCAGACATGGAACACCCAGGTTGCGGGGCCAGCAGGCTGCCAGTGGGGCTGAGCCCATGCCCCAAACAGTGGCAGAGAACTGAGTTCAGGCATGGCCTCTTGTGATGTGCCCAGGTGTGGCCACATAGAGCTCAAGCCAAAGCTTCTACAGGGACACAGTTGTGCACACCAACACTGGGCACCTGGACCTGCCACATGCTGGACGAGGCGAGAATAGATCACTAGCCAAACACAGCCTGTGTGGTGAGGGAGGCCTGCTGGCACCGTCTCAGCCCCACCTCTCATCACAGGCCCTCTTCCCCATGCACCCCCTCCCGACAGGAGGGCCCTCAATGTTGCTATTTGCAGCGCTGCAAGGCATGCCCTCATCTGCCTGGGCCGTGGGTCAGGTGCATCAGCCAGGCCTCTGATGGGCAAGATTGAGTCAGCCTCAACAGGCTAGTGCGCTGGGCACCGGGGCTCGGCCCACCCCGGGGGTCCCGTGGCACCACAGAGCACCAGCACCGGCCTGGTGCTTCTCCCCGCCTCCCTGTCCTAGACCGTGGCCCTGAACGTGTCTGCTCCGCAGGGTTCCGGGAGATGCAGGGAACTGTGAACACGAGGTGGTCCTGGCGATCCTGACCAGGCAGCCTGTCACTGCCAGGCCGAAAGCCCCATAGGGTTCGCGTGTCTGGGTGCGGGAGGCCATTAACCCCCAGGGCCAAGGGGCGGGCAGGGCCCGCAGCTGCAAATGGTCAGACTGCACAACTGCTATGGTAGGGGCTCACCTCCACTGTAGCTGCTACCAGGGGAGCCCCCGGGAGGAGGGGGCCCCCGGCACGACACAGTGTTCCCATAGCCCCCATTCTGCTCCAGGAGCTGTAAGGACCAAAACACAGAGTCAGCCCACAGAGGTCAGAGCCACAGTCCACATACTCCCTGCCACGAGAACCTGACAGCACACAGCACCGTGAGCTCCAGGCACGCGGCCACCCAGGGATGCCCTCCCACACAACGGTCACATGCCCATGGGAGGGCTCTCCCATGATGCCGCGCAGTTCCCTGGGACCAGAGGGCAGCCGTGCAAACACATCCCCACACGCAACTTGCTGAGCGGGCACTCAGGACCTCCCGGGCAGGCATCAGTGCACCCCCGGGAAGCAGCGGTGAGCGTGCCCCACTGGGTGGGGGCCCGTCACACAAGCCCACCTCACGCAGGCTTGGGATGGACCTGGCGCAGGGCACACACACCCCTGAGGCATCTGTCTCTCCGCCCCAGGCCCAGCCAGGCTCAGCTCGGGATGCGTCCAAAGCCCTGAAGACACTTGTAGCGCCTGGCAGCACACGACCCAGCCAAATGTCAGGGAGCGGGATGCAGGGCCACGGCCCCTCACAGCCCCCCCGGCAACGGCCTCAACCTCGTACAGCCCTAAATAGGTTGCCCGTGACTCTCTTTATAGGTTATTGAGAAGCACACTTTAAGGTTCTGGGTTTTTTTACAAAAGCAGTTACTGAGTTAAAGTTTTATCATGTTGAGCTCAGAAAGTGAGGCATACACGTTATCAATTCCACGGAGCAGGATAAGATCTTGTCTTCTGTGTGACCTCGTAGGTGGGTGACATTCATGTCCAGTGCCTTAACAATAGCGTGCACACCCTGAGTGCAAGGCAACACTCGTCTACCACATCACTGCCTTTCTTCACAAAGTCTCAGTTCTGTGTACTTGTTCTGTCTGTTTCTGAGAAGAATCCATTTCCCGCTGTGACCGTGTGCTCCTCACAGTCCCTCAAGCCCCGGCTGTAGCATGGCACCTGCGGACGCCACGTGGCTCTATTCCACCCCTTTGTCATGCGCCCTGTTTAATGACACAGCCCACTCTTTCATGTGGTTCTCTTCTCAGGGTTCCAATTCCACTCCTGCATCCTCCCCTGGAGCCACCTGCTCCCATGTGGCTCAGAGAGAACGCTACTGGGGGCTTGATGTGGGCCCCCACCAGCCCTGGTGCTCCAAGTGCTAAGGCCAGACTGCGCTCGGAGCCCCACCCCATGGCAGCCTGCGCCCGTCTGTCAGCATCTCCACCAGCCCAGTGGGCACCAGCAGCCTGCACACCAGACACCTCCCCACACCACTGACCCTCTGCTGACCCTAGGGACCTACGTCTTCTGTGATGGGCCCCTCGAGCAGCCCCAGGCCAACTGCTCAGGGCTGCCACCTCACCGCCGTCCCCCACAACCAGACCCCCCAACACACCCCCTCAGTGCCTTCCCTTCCTCACAACCATGGCTGCTGGTGGCCACCAAGTCCTCATTTCATCTTCTGCCCTGGCTCCGGGCACGGGAACATCCTGCATGCTCAGTGGCCATCAAAAGCAGACACACCATGTGGTCAGCAGCCCAGCTTCCCATTCATTCCCCTGACTCCTGTGACCCCCTCCTGCAGGGCGGCACCCTTAAGGGCACAGGACCCCAGGCTGCCTGAGGGCCCCTCTCCGCGCCATGCTGTGAGGGCCCCCGAAAGACCAGGCTTCCACCCTCAGGCGGGCAGGTCTCAGAGCACCCTCAAGCCCATGTGATCACGAGCGGCACCGGGAAGACCCTACCTCAGCGACGGGCGCCGTGGGGTTCACGTTCCGGGCGGCCGCGATCTCCTGGAGCTGGTTCACCAGTTCTGTGATGGACAGCCGCTCCTCCGGGTTGACCCTCAGCGCAGCACCTGCGGCAGAGGCAGCACCGGCTCCCACAGAGAGCTTAGACCCGAGGCCCGCGCTCTACTTATGTTATTGACTTAAAAGCAAGTGAGGAAATGGTGACACGAGGAGCAACAACAGATGGAACAAAGCAAGCACCCGACCATCTGCGGACTCACAAATGGGGGCTGCCCAGTGGGAACCACAGAACAGCCTCACGGGGGCTGCAGGCAGGTGTGGTGGGCAGGTGCTGTCCTCCGCGGGCCCCGCGCTGACTTACGGATGAGGCCGTGGAACACGGAGTACCGGGTGTCGTCGGGAGGGATGGAGTACTTCCCGTTCACGATGCGAAGCCGTGCCCCATCTTCAAACGGGTGCTGCCGGAAGCACAGTAGGTACAGGATGCAGCCCAGGGCCTGGGGAGCAGAGGTAAGTGGGGTGGGGGGCACAGGGCAGGGGCGAGTGGGCCAGGGGCATGGGCTAAGGGGGGCATAGGGCAAGTGGGGAGGGCGTTGAGCAGGACATGGGGTGAGCAGGGTGTGGGGGTTGAGTGGGACACAGGGTGAGTGGGGCATGGGGTGAGCAGGAGGTGAGTGGGCCAGAGAATGAGGGGGACACGGGGTGAGCAGGGTGGGGACTGAGCAGGACAGGGGGTACAGGGTGAGCAGGGCAGGGGTTGAGTGGGACACAGGGTGAGGGGGACATGGGTTGAACAGGGTGGGGGTGAGCAGGATGGGGGTACAGGGTGAGCACAGCAGGGGTTGAGGGGGACATGGGGTGAGAGGGCATGGGGTGAGCAGGGTGGAGGGTGAGCAGGGTGGGGGCTGAGGGGGACATGAAGTGAACGGGGCCCAGGGTGAGCAGTGGTTGAGCGGGCCTGGGATGAGGAGGCGCAGGAGGCACAGGGTGAGGGGCCATGAACTGAGTGACAGACGGGGTGAGCAGGGTGCAGGCTGAAAGGGCACAGGGTGAGGGGGACAGAGGGCAGTCGGCCATCCCCACCTCAGGTCCCTGGGGGCATAGCTGGGTCTGTGTGCACCCACGAGCAGGGTCATGCTCTCCCACTGCCTGGTGCCAGGTCAGAGGGAAACAGAAACCCCTGCCCTGTTTTCTACTCAAAAGGTCATCTAAACAGCAGTTCCTACATCCAAGCATGAGGCTCTGTTGGTCAGGGGCTGGCAGGGTGACCACAGAGGAAGGTGGCACCTCCACGTTCTTCCCCAGCATCTCCAAGCACAAGTGGACATGGCAACCTCACCTATGGGGTCAGTCGGGGCTTCCACAGAGCGTAGGAGCCCCATTACCCACAGCGTCCGAAGCCAGGAGTGTGTGAGGCTCCGGTGACCCCGCAGCATAGACACTTCGTCCTGCTGACAGCAAGTGGGGCCCGCCACACGCCCAGATGAGGACAAACCCCAAGCACACAAGGTTAGACCATCATGCTGGTGGGCACACTGTGCCCTCCTGTTGGGATGTGCCAAGGACGCCCCTTGGGGTCAACAAGGACTTGGAAAGGGAAGACGTGGTGGGGGTTTGGCATCGTAGGCCCCTCGGCCATTATGAAAGGCTCTAACACGTGCATCCTGCCGACTGGCACGTCCCAAGCTACTCTGCCTGCACCAGGATGGACCCACAGAGGAGTCGGCCCTGGATCCTGGCTGGCAGGTCTGGACTATGTGTCCTGAGGCACAGGGGCAGTCAGTGGTCTGGGGGCTGAAGTGTCGCTCCCCTGCTCACAGGGAGGATGGGAGGCTGAAGGATAACACGGAACAGGCAAACGCAGCACCGTGCCCCCCACCGCTGGCCACTCAAGCTCACATCCTGGTGGCTTGGGTGGAGTCAGTGGATGCCGGGAGGAGCACAGCCAGCACAATGCCCACTCCCACCAGGGATGGCCTCCTCCAGAGGGACAGGACTTCAGAGGTGAGGGAGGAGGTTGGGCCCAGCCCCGACTCTGAGATCCCCCCCCCACCCCCAGGTCAGGCTGGCATCAAGCTCCAAGGCCATACAGACTTCTAGTGTCCAGGTGCACAAGCCACGGCTTTGTGAATCCCCAGGCCCTGCGACAGAGCTCTGACCAGGAAAGCACCTGCTCCTGCTTCGGGACGCCAAGCCTGCAGGCCGCACACTTTTCCCAGCCAGGGCCGTGTCTCAGCTCCGTGCTCACACCCACCCAATTTCTGCTCACGTCATCTCATTAACAGCAGCCACAAGTGACTCATAAGTAAACAAGGAAAAAACAAAGAGGAAAAGGAAAAATGAGGCCAAGGGCCAGCAGGCTAGCCTTGCCCCAGCACAGCACAAGGCCTGCACCACACCACGGGCAGCCTCACCCAGATGTCCTGCTTCTCGCCAATCGGGAAGTTCGAGTATAAGTCCACGATTTCTGGAGTTCTGTACATGGGCGTTGTGTTCCTGGTGATCTAATTTCAAAAAGACAGTTGTGTGCTATCAATATGTATTTTTTGCATTGATGCCCTGCATCTTTCCAAAACACACTGCAGGTATTTATGAATGATGTCCATTCACATCCCACCATGTTCCAGAAAGATCTCAGGCTGCCACCCCCACTGCCTCTCCAGCTTCCTGCCCCCACCGCTCTCTCCGGCCTGAGCAGCCGCCACAGCGCTCACTTGGGCCTCCTTGCTGTTGGCTCAGGAAAAGCATTTCACCTCACAGGAAACCTCGTCCAGTGTGGCGCACACAGAGCTCTATGAGGTGGCTCGTTGGTGTGTATGAGAGGAAACCCTGTTCTAACAAAAACTCCCAATCAGTTCTTGTGGACACAGCGCCTTCTCTAATGGGAGAGAGCTAAACCAAATTTACCTGTTTGGTTTTGGTTTTTATGTAAAAAAAACCCCAGGACCCAGGTACACAGGCTGGAATCTGGGACAGATGAGCACCTGTGTGCCCCTGCAAGTCAGGGCATAGCCAACACCCACACTGACCCGAGGCCCAGACTGCAGCAGAAGCAAGTAATAAACGGTGCCATGACCTCAATAGGACAGGGAAAATACTCAAGGCAAATGTGGTAACTTCACCCAAGATCTGCTCTCCAAGAGCAAGTGCCCTGAGAAGGTCAGCCCCAGGCTGGGTGCACACACAGGGTGGCTGGTGTCCATAGAGGGCCCACATGGAGCATGCACACAGCCCCGCACCTCCTCGGGCACGGTGAAAGCACGACTGCAGCCAGGCGGGCCTTGAAGGTGCTTCACTGAAACTGCACCGCAGCACTCGGCTGGGGGGTAGGCACCCCAGCACCAGGAGAGAGGCAAGGCGGAGTGCTGCACAGCCGGAGGGGCACTGTCTGGCTGCAGGCTCAGATGGCGCTGTCCTACACGATGACTAGACCTGGAGATATCTTTCTTTTACGTGGTACAGCCCCACAATATGCACTCAGGACTACCCTAAAAATATGCCCTGCACATAGAAGATCACACCTCCCACTGCCCATTGCCCAGTCTGCAGGGTGCAGACTGTGTGGGATGCCAAGCAGGCCTGGTTACGAGCAGCAGAGGCCACGGTGTAGTCAGGCAGTGACAAACCTCAGGGTGTGCAAAGCGTAGTGCCCATGCAGCACAGAGGGGCTTGAGGGGCAAAGCCAGGACCACCCCCACGTCTGTGCACGCCCTAGGTTTGGGCTGCGCAGGGGCTGGCAGAGGAACCACGGTGATTCCCGCATTCTCCCCAGGAGATTCACTCTCTTCTAGGAGAGGGGGGACACACTCCCTCTCTGTGTGAGGTGGGGCTGAGCTCACTGGAAGGAGACACAGAAGGGGTGGCGGACGAGAAGCTGGGGGTGGGCCTGGGTGGAGGGGCTGGCAGAAGGGCATGATTTCTGACAGGACGGGTGCGCTGATACACAAGCAAGCATGTTAGCATGTGACACATTAGTGTGTCAGCACAAATGGGCTGTGCACACGCACACTCTGCCTGGACAGGCGCGCCTGTGCCCAGGCTGTGGTCTCTGCCCCTGCCCCCACCCCCACCCAGAGGTGGAGGCATGATCGGTGCTGTTGAGCCTGGAGTAGCCTTCTCTGGGAAACAAAGTGCTCCAAAATGGCGGGAGCCGCTCCACGAGTCCTGGTGAGGGGTTCTGGTGCAGGCAAGGCGGCACGGGTGGGCTGCAAGCCCACAATGCTGAGCCCGGCAGCCAGAGCCACTGCCCAGGGCCTAGGGTGGAGGGCCCTCCCTCACTCCTCATCGACTGCGAGGATGTCCCATACTCAGCACCCACACAGGGCCCTTCCTGGGGAACGATTTCCTCACGAAGGCTCTGACCCGTGAGACCCTGCTGGGTCTGGGACTGTCTGAGACACGCTTCTGGTCTGGGCTCCTGGGAGGACTGGGCCCTCACACAGACACTGGCAGACACAGAGGATGGCTTCCCCTCAGCGCGTGTCTTAGCGGCAGGACCTGCCTCCTGTCCTCACTGCCGCCTTCTGCCTCATGTGGCTCACTCAGTGATAAGATCGCTCTAAGCTGTCTGTCTGGGAAAGCCAAGCCACTGGAAGAGGAACGCCTATCTGTCCATGTAGCTCAGGGTCCCAGAAAGCAGGCGCCATGGCACCCCATGGCCTCCAGCCCTCCTTTTCCCCCAGGCCATGCTGCCACACGTGTGGTGTGTCCACACGTGGTGCCACCTCCTACCCATGTGCACACAGACCACACTCAGTTTGTGCGGGTGTCCCGCAGGGGCTGCCAAAGCTCCCTTGCAAATTCACTGCTAAGGGGTATTTCTTTGGGAAGATGACAGCGTTCTGGGAATGGTGTGAGGGCTGCACACTACAATGTGCACTTGAGAAGAGTCCAGACGGTGACCCTCAATGGCTTGGATGTCTTCCCACAATAAAAAATGCAACAGGAAGAAACCATATGACACACAGAAGTGACGTTTGGACAGGCAAGTGATGGAGATGCAAGTCAATGCCTCAACTAGGGCTTCCTGACAACAGTAAGTGCTGTCTGGGGGAAGGAGGGCCCTCATGAGCTGAAGGGGCAGGCTGCTGGGGCTCATGAGTAAGGAGAGCCCCAAAGGAGCAGGCCTGCCATGCGGCTCACCTCTTCCTCCACCAGGGCACGCCGCTGGGCGCTCCAGCTGTAGTCAGGGTAATGTGAGATGGTTGTGGCGCTGCCGAAGTCACACAGCTTAATCGTCCCCTGGTTACTAAGCAACAAGTTCTCCACCTGTAAGATTCCAGAAGACAGTCCTTGTGAATGGGTGCCAGAGCCGGACTGTGGGCATCATGGGGCTGCATGAGGATGGGTGTCCTGGGCACATACAGCCAGCCATCTCACACCCAAAGGGAGGTCGGCAAGGGGCCCTCCTCTGGCAAAGGGAAAAATGCAGTGTCTTAAGACATTTCTGATCAAAATCAGTATGCGTACCTTTAAAAATGGGTAATTCAGAAAAACATAGGAAGTTAAAATCAAGCATAAATCAAACATCTCCAATCAATAATGTGGGATATACAGTGAAAGCCTTAGGAAAGTCAGGAGATGAAAAAATCTAACATACCATTTAAAAATCAACTATACCAGGAGATTCAAGATGGCAGGGTGAGAGGTGAGATAGAGAACTCCTCCCAAAATGACATTAGGTAAGAAAATATAATTAATACAACTAACCCTGGAACAGCAACAGGAGGGAAGGCTGAACCAGACTGCATGCAGACCTCAGGAACAGAGCAGACCTCACGAAACAGCGTAACTACCAAAGCCTTGATCCAGCGGGACCCAAGCCCTTCCCCACCCCAGCTCACCAGCGGGAGGAAGAGAAACAGAGCGGGGAGGGGGTGGAAGCCTGGGACTGCTGAACACCCAATCCCCGGAGGTCTCCTTTGCAAACAGAAACCTACATTGTGTGGTGCTCTGGAGGTTGGTGGGACTGGGGAGCTGGAACAGGCGGAGTGCTTGAGAGACTGAGATTCCGGTGGAGGAGGGGAACAACACCCGGCCTCTCTGAGACAAAGGAAAGGCAGGCGGTCTGAGAGGCTTCCTAGCAGCTAGAGGGCTGCTCAAGGGGCGGGGTTTGCATGGAGCTTGCTGCGCAGGAGAAGGGAGAGCTGGACAAGGTTGTCTGGGTGCACTCTGCCCAGCTGGTTGGGAGCTGTGAGGGGCTTCAGCTGCTCCATCCCCCGGCTGGATGCTGAACTTCGAGGCCCCGCGTGAAACACACAAGGCCTGCTGGCACCAGCTTGCAAAGTGGCATGCACTGCGCTGGCGTCAGGCCAGGCAAAGGGAGACCCCGCCTACAACACCTAGAGATGCCAAGCACAGAGGCTTACACCTGTGTGCTCAGCCCACTGGCTCTGACACCTGAGACAGGCACCACAGACGTGAATTGGGGAACAGATCTTTCCTCTCCCCAGGCACCAGCTCTGCTCCCATATGGCCCCCAACCTCACTCTAGGGGCTGAGCAGCTCCAGAGACTGGAGATCCTGGGCACTAGAGGGCACCACACAGAAATATGAAATGTCAAAAGAGCCTGGTTCAGACCAAAATATCACAAACCCCAGAAAAAGGGCCAAATGAAACTGAACTCACCAATCTTCCTAAAAGAGAGTTCAAAAAAAAAATCATAAACATGCTTATGGAGATACAGAAAAATATTCAAGAACTCAAGAATGAATTTAAGATGGAGATTCAATCACTGAGAAATTCCATATCTGAAATGAAACATACAATGGAGGGATTTAAAAGCAGATTAGATGTAATAGAGACAGTAAATGGAATAGAAATTAGAGAAGAGGAATACAAAGAAGCTGAAGCAGAGAGAAAAAAGGATCTCTAAGAATGAAAGAATATTGAGAGAATCCAAACAGAACAATATTCGCATTATAGGGTACCAGAAGAAGAAGACAGAGAAAAAGGGATAGAAAGGGTCATCGAGGAGGTAACTGCTGAAAACTTCCCCAATCTGGGGAAGGACATAGTCTCTCAGGTCATGGAGGTGCACAGATCTCCCAACACAAGGGACCCAAGAAAGACAACATCAAGACATAAAAACTAAAATGGCAAAGATCAAGAATAAAGACAGACTATTAAAAGCAGCTAGACAGAGAAAAAGATCACATATAAAGGAAAACCCATTCAGGCTATCATCAGATTTCTCAACAGAAACCTTACAGGCCAGAAGGGAGGAGCATAATATAGTTCATGCCATGAAGCAGAAGGGCCTCGAACCAAGCATGCTCTACCCAGCAAGGTTATCATTTTTTTTCCTTTTTTTGTATTTTGGTATCATTAATCTACAATTACATGAAGAACATTAGTTTACTAGGCTCCCACCTTCATCAAGTCCCTCCCAGATACCCCTTCACAGTCACTGACCATAAACGTAGTAAGATGCTATAAAATCACTACTTGTCTTCTCTGTGTTGTAGAGCCCACCCCGTGCCCCCGCACACGAGACATGCTAATCGTAATGCCCCTTTTCTTTTTCCCTGCCCTTATCCCTCCCTTCCCACCCATCCTCCCCAGTCCCTTTCCCTTTG